TAAGAATGCTATTCCTAGTGGCGACTAACGAATTTTGGGGTCTTTGCTGTTCAAAATTTAGAGATTTCGACTTGCTTTAAGGCCTCAAGGTTTTCACTGGGTTGTGTAAGGATGTTCTCGGGTATACTTTTTTCTCTTTCAAGTTTCACCGTTGGAGGTGAGTGAAAGCCCACTCCCACCTCTTTTGCATGACAGGGATTTCTCTAACTTGTAACCGTTGAAAAATCAAAAAAGAAATGGATCTGAGTTCACATCTATAATTAGGAAGTGATATTTAGCAGTTGCAGGGTTACATGGTAAAAAATTGAAGTTTGTCACTTATTGCAAAACTATGACTTGATTATAGAGAGTTTGCCTGTGTTCTTAGAAGTATTCAAAATTTGTGGCAAACCAAAAGTCGGTTGAGAATTATGGTACAGAGGAGGTAGTCTACATGTCAATGTTTATTCCTTGAGTTCGACCTTGCACGTGCTTATTCCTAAACATTCATTAAATTAGTATAGTTTTATATACATTTACAGGTACGTGTTTCAAAATGTACATATTTTGGTGATTGTTAAGTTGATAAAAACAGTAATAATGTTAATAATTATAAATCGATATGCATCATCAGTTAGTAGATGAGATGCACTTTGATGCATTGCACAATGAATAAGGGGATTCATTGTCACCTAATTAGTGATGCATATCTACTAATGGTTCATTTACACAGAAAATTGGATACATGTCTCCTTGTTATATAATTAAAATTATTTGCTAACAATGGTTAGAGCATGGTTGAGATTTGGTTAAGTGGTTTAATCATGATCGTGGTTGTGGCCACACTGAGACAAAAAAATCTTTGGTTTTATTGCTAGATCGAGAGTGATATCCTTGTTCATCCCCCTAGTTTACACACTGCATGCTTCTTGGGAATTTATAATTAAAAAAATTATATAATAAAACCATTGTACATGTAAAGTGGGTCCAGCGCGACCAGATATGAGCCAGGTTGATAGGTTTGCTCGTCTTTGATTACAGGGTTGATCAACATACTAGCGTCATACCCATTTCAGACTCTTAACGAACATGAACCCATAACACGTGAATCTATTCAATATTTTCAACCGGATGCATGAGGCCTAGCTTCTTGTCCTCTCTATCCAACTTTTTACATATTGGATGTAGGGGTGGGCGTGGGTTGGGTTGGGTCGGTTTTTGCCCCAACCCAAACCCAACCCAACACTGTCGGTTTGATCTAATTTCAACCCAACCCAACCCAAATACACGTTGAAACCCAACCCAACCCAAC